GCGGCAAACGGTGGAAGATGACGGTGGGAGGAGGCGGTCGGCGAAGGACACCGGCGGTAGGCGGCCGACGGCGGGAGGCGGCCGACGGCAAGAAGCGGCCGAGGATGGCGGGAGGCGGCCTGCGGCAATAGTGAGTGGCAAGGAGGTGGCCGACTAGTAGCGAGAGCGAGCGATAAGAAGAGTTTTTATTTCTCATTTCTGTTCCAGAAATAGAAAAGTAAACTTTTTTTACTTCTGATTTCTATTCCAAACTTATCTCTAAAATAGAAATTTGTTCCAGAAATAGAAAAATGAAATTGCGTTACCAAATGGATTTATGTTCAAAATTTGTTCTCTAAAACAGAAAAATAGAAAAATAAAGAAATGAAAATGTTAACGTGCGCGCTCTTAATCTCTACACTCAAAAGTCTGTTCCACGTCACGTCATTATGACGCGTAATGACTTCGACAGATCGATTTTCTACCTTCCCTTACATTGCTCTCCACAAAGTTTGAGCTGTTTTTGAGGTGTTCATTATTTTTCTTCAAATTATGATTTCAAATTATATGGCACATCAACTGTGCTTTTTCTTTATTCGGCTTGGAAGATTTAGGACCGAATTGATCGCCGTACTGTAAATTTATATTATTTTGGACAATGTTCCCAAATATTCGACTTGGACCATGACTAACGGTGTACAAAAAGAGTGATTATAACATGGTTGAGAAGGTTCTTTTTCATTTTCTTTTTTCTTTTGGAAGGATGTGAGTTTGCATGGATAGGAACAAGAATAGAGATGAGCGGTTGCAAGTCCCTATAAGTTCCACCTGAAACCTAAAACATACCCGTTGAAACAGGTTCTTAATTTTTTAGAACCTGGAACCTACCATGCATACCTTAGAATCTATAACTTATCTTGTCAAAGGTTCCAGAGCCGATTCCAGGGTCTACTCAGGTTTCGCCTATATTATTAATTCATTTGAAGTGAATCATCACCTTTTATGATCACCAATTGCTGTTACAATTTACTGACAACAACTTATATTTATACACGAAAATGTGAAACATTAATAAAGTAAAAGTCTGAATCATAAAATGGAAGCTTAGACTAGTAGTTTCAAATTATACACTCGTCATCGGACGCTATGGAATACTGTAGAATCACGCAAAACATGGATCAAGAAAAACGTAAGTTCGAGGTTCTACCTACCTAGAACTTTGAACCTACCCTTCGAAATAGTTTCCTCAATTTTTGGAGCCTGCAACCTATTATGCATATCTTGGAACTTGAAACCAGACAGGTTCCTACAAGTCTGGTTCTCAGATTCAAAATATCAAAATATAGATAATTGCAAGCAGAACAATATAATCACTAGCAAAAATAAATAGTTAGATCAATTCAAGTTGAAACATGAAAAAACCCAATCGAAATTGACTTCAAGACTAATAACAAAATCATTGTGCATCAAATGGCTCCTCTTCTTTTCGCTCAAATAAAGTGGCTCTAGAAGGACTCTCGAGCGACTAGAATTAAGACCGGTGATATTATAACAGATGAAATAAAGAAAAGATTTAAATATGTATAATGAATTAGTAAATAAAAAATTTACCCTGTTTATTTGATTCTCATAGATGAAGATGTGCGGGGACTTAAAAAATTACAAAATTAATCTTAGGGTTGCACAAGTCAAGGATAAAGTTAAAAAAGAATAATTCGATAACACATGATTACGCGACACATAATCAATCTTAGGATTGCACAAGTCAAGGATAAAGTCAAAAAAGAATAATTCAATAACACATGACCACGCGCGACACATGACCCTGCGTCGTTTCTTATGAATCAGAAGTTAATTTTGTAGTAAAATACTTTTCTTCAAAACAAAACAATAATAAGTACAGTAATGATTTCTTTCATGATTACAAATCACATTTTTAGAATTCCTGCGGTAACCCATCTAATCCAATTTCCAAGCGAGAGAAAAACATTGAAATTCTCCCGAGCGCTGATCCGGAGTTGTCTTCTTCTACATCTGTTCTGTTTTATATATTGTTGAGAAAAAGCGACGTAAGACTCCACGTTAGCGCCGCATCATTTCTTTCATTTACTTTTTCAACGTAACGACTAATTTGGGAAAAAAAAATTAATTAGGGCGCCATAGCCCTCTTTTTTTCTTCCTTTAGCTTCCACTGTAGAAGTAAATAAAGGTGTGCATTTTATAAAAAGAAAATTAAATTTAAATCCCTCCGCAAGTCCAAATTTGGCAGAATTGCACCGTCATTAATTAGTAAACGACGGTGCTGTCCCCTTAAGCAAAGTTGGCATGGATATGTCATTACACGACCAAATTTGGCAGGCTTGCATGGGTACGACACCTGTCTGCATGCGAAGGTGTCTTGCCAACTTTGACGGGGCGAGGCTCATAACTTCTTTACTTATAAGATAGGATTTTCTCCCTTATTTGGCGCATCGCGGGTTACCATAACAACAACAGCACCACCGCCCAAAGGTACGTAGCCGCAGCAGCAGCAATCGCGGGTCAATTGGGCTCGACCTTTTCACGAAATTCAAAAGAGACCCGCATGAAAAAATTCGAACACGAACGAACCAAATCGACTCGGAAAACAAAATTCGCTACAAGAACATGAAAATACACCAAGGAAAAACCTGTTCTGTTCTTGCTTACAACATGTCGACAGCAACCCTATGCCCGATCAACTTTCATGTGGTTGATCACCTATTAATCCTCGTCGTCGTCCTCCTCCTCCTCCTCCGCTTCTCTTGCTCGGTTCTCAGATGAACACTATTGGTTTCAGGCGGGCGATGTCCTCGTCCGAGAAAACCGGCCAACAGAAATGCATCCCGGAAATGGCGTCGTAGTAAGATTGCGCCGACATCGTTTGGGCCCTCGAGACCGAGTTGCGCTCTTTGCCATGCTGACACTCCTGGACTTCATGATCGGGAACATTCCTGTCTGCCTCTGCCTCACCAAGGGTCCTGGAGTTAGCTGCACCATCGAAGTTAGCTACAGTTGGGGGATTGATAATCACATTCGCGTTGCCACTGCCTCCATCATTGCTGCTGTCATTTGCAAGATTTGTGGAGGGGTTGGCTTCGGCTTGGTTCAGAAGCCACTGTATGGTGTCACCAGTGGTTCGGTGCCCGAGCCGTCGGGTCAGCCGGAAAACACGGGCTGCACAAGCCATCGGGACGCGGATCCTGCGGCCCCGGGCTCTTACCTTTGCGCGGCGATCTTTGGCGACGGTGGCTCTTGGGGCATGAGGATGTAGGGTTGGCAAACCATTGGAATTCATGGCTCAAAATTTTCCCTCGCTAAGGATATGTGGGCAAGTAATATTTTTTATGTCTATGTGCTTCTGAGGGATGTGTGAGCTAGTAGAGGTGACGAGCTTATATAGTGTGCACAAAGGGAGGGAGAGGGTCCTTCAAAGGGTCATTATATGCAGCTCTTAAAGAGAGAATCCACATCTGTCTAGTTCTTTTACATTTTCTTGTCTTTTTACCATTCAGGAGATAATTTATCTATAGTTATTTAGTGGGTAGATATTTCCTTGTTTTTTTCCCTTTTTACTACGAGGTAAATAATCTTATCCATCTCGTCGGATCGGATGAGACAACAAGTGTGGTAGGTGCGGGCCTCAAGATTATTCCAAGTCGAAGATGATATGATTTCACTTACAAATGGTTACATTCAAATTAAGCGCTTTACCATTCGGTCAAATATTGGAAGTGCAAAGATGGAAAGATCTAACATGGGATAAGGAGCAAGCTCGCCTTCCTTTTTGATCATTTTGACAGGGAGGGTGGATAAAGTGGACAAAATTAGACTTCTATTCCCAGTTGAAAAGATGGGTTCCTTTTTTATCTCACATTTCTCATCGGAGAGGAACAGCATCATACTTGATTCAAATTAATGACGTTGACCGAATAATTTACGTATATTAGAAGTCAAAAAGCAAATCGGATAAGTAAGACATCTGCGCTAAACGTCAGGTCGATATTTAATCGAGAGAGATATACGTCGTCACTTGGCGAATTCGCAGGTTCAATTCCTACTGAATGCATACCAGGTACCAAGGGAACACGATCACTATTATTTATTGCCGAAAGACAGATTTTAGTACTCGTCTTAGTGCCTGGTATTTGGAGATGGGGAACTTTCCTTTCTCTATTAAAAAAAAAAAGAGGTCGTTACCACTTGACCGAAAGTTTCATTATAGTCCAGACTGTACTGTTGTGAGAACCCTCGTACCATTAGGAGGCACTGTAGAAGAAAAAACTACAAAGTCCGATCCATTTTATTGTGATCAATTAGTTAACATGTTGGTTAACCGTTTTCTAAAACACGAAAAAAAAAATCAATCCAAATGTATTTATTATTGTGCATGTGGTACAAGCTCTATTGAATGGAGGTTGAACCAAGAAAGATATAATCCACAATTGGCTAAGTCAAGCACCAAGTAATCGCGATCGATCATGCTTACTGAAGTGAATCCGGACGTGTTTGTTTGTGCTGTAATCGACTCCTCGGGCTAGTAATATCCAAGTGCATTTATTGCCATCCATGCACGACATTCGATTTCGCTCCGAACATAAATTTTCACAATAGTACGATACTTTTATGCCGTACCATCCGTTTGTCCGGACCAAAATCCGGCGCATCTCGATGAGTCCGCCTCCTCGAACAATCTCGAAACCTAACCAGACTTATTCCAACGTGCTATTTTCATACGCCTATACATTTCTCGTGGGTCCCACACGATCTATGATCGGGGTTCTCGGTCCGGTCCACCTAGAAGGCCTTCTGGTGTATTTGGGCCTCGCGCTGAGGCCCGCTTCGGCCCAATTCTCGGCCCGCGAGAGTGGGAAGCGCGGAAATGACAAAGGAGGACTCTCTCAACGGTTCTCGAACTCGATTCCATGAAAAAAAAAAAAAAAAACTTGAAGAATCTTCTGGAACTACCACCACTGTAAGCCCTAAAACTCTCTCTGCCTGCGCGAGCCTCCTTCTTATCCACCTACGCCACGCATTGCTAAGCCTGCCCAAAACCTCCTCCTCCTTCTCCTCCTTCGCCAGCAGCTCCGGAAACCCTAGCAAGCTTCGGAAATGGCGTCGGCTAACGCTATCTCTACGGCTTCCATCCTCTGCTCCCCCAAGCAGGTAACCGTTTCCGGCGAAACTTTTGCGAGTCTCGCGCGCCGTTACATTTCCGATGGTCGATGCTTCCTTTGCTTCCTTTCGAGCGGGATGAATGCGAAGCGGGAGGCTTAGGTTCATCCGCCTTAGGCGCTCGGTCGCCGGCAATGATTTGAGAAGCTCTTGAGATTTAGAATCGAGTCTCGCGGTTTGGTTGGAGCTAGGTTGGTTTTTACTTACTGTCGAGCGTTGTGTTTTTTGGCGTGGCCTTTGATGCAGGGGAGCTTGAGGAGGAAAGCGAACCAGAAGGTGAATTTCGGCCGGTCCGGCGGGAAGTTCGCGGTCAGAGCCGCCGCCAAGGAGATAGCGTTCGACCAGAGCTCCAGGGCCGCTCTTCAGTCCGGCATCGACAAGCTCACGGACGCTGTCGCCCTCACGCTCGGCCCGAGGGGTAAGCTAGCTATGGTTTGATGTTTACTAGATGAATGATGACATAGGATGTGCGTACTTTGAGTTGACGGTAAGGTCTACAAAGCTATAGCTACTGGATTGACTGTGTGACGGAATTTGTTTCCGTGCACATGTATAAGATGTGCTGTATAGAATCCATCTTGCAACCACATTAGTCAAGACCCTGCGAAGAGTAGTTTCGCTGTTGGACTCATAGGTTTTATTACTCAGGATACGGCTGCTTTTTTGTAGCAACAGAGTGGCAGTTGATATGCGAACTGTACTTATCGGGAAAGTTATTCATCTGCTCTCTGCAGGGAGAAATGTCGTGTTGGATGAATTTGGCAATCCAAAGGTTGTAAATGATGGGGTCACAATTGCCCGAGCGATTGAGCTACCTGATGCTATGGAAAATGCTGGTGCTGCTCTCATTAGGGAGGTCAGACTTTCATATTGCAGTCTTGCATTTCCTCTCGGTCATATTGCCTTGCATTTCCTCTCTGTCATATTGCAGTCTTGCATTTATCCTTCCGGTTAGAATTGCTTTCAACGATGTTTTATTTTGCTGATAAATTTTGGCTCAAACGGCAGGTTGCAAGCAAAACTAATGACTCTGCTGGTGATGGCACAACTACTGCATCAGTCCTTGCTCGTGAAATAATTAAATTGGGATTGCTGAGCATTACATCTGGTGCAAATCCAGTTTCAGTGAAGAGAGGCATTGATAAAACCGTGCAAGGATTGATACAGGAGCTGGAGAAGAGGGCTAGGCCAGTTGAAGGACGTGATGACATTAAAGGTAATGTGCTTGCATAGTCCATGAAAGAGCAAAGCTTTAAACGGAAAACTTCCAAGTCCTTTATACTGATACTCTTTTGGGTTTCATTGTAGCCGTTGCGACAATTTCTGCTGGAAATGATGAGCTGATTGGAACAATGATTGCGGATGCAATTGACAAGGTCGGCCCTGATGGTGTTTTGTCCATTGAATCGTCGTCATCGTTTGAGACAACCGTTGATGTTGAGGAGGGAACGGAGGTCAGCATTTCGTAATTTTTAATTTGTGCGTCTTGTTTTTCATTAGTTGGGCAAAGAAACCCTCTCCCCTCCCTCGCGCCCCACCCCCCCCTTAGTTGGAGGAGGTGGTGGAAGTTTTCACTCATTCTTTTATCTGTTCATACAAATGTTTCTATTGGCTTGCAGATAGACAGAGGATACATATCCCCTCAATTCGTTACCAACCCCGAGAAGTTGATCGTGGAATTTGAGAATGCAAGAGTATTAGTGACAGATCAAAAGATTTCAGCAATAAAGGATATTATCCCCTTGCTGGAGAAGACAACTCAGCTGAGAGCGCCTTTGCTCATAATTGCTGAAGATGTGACTGGGGAGGCTTTGGCTACTCTTGTTGTGAACAAGTTGCGGGGTATCCTTAATGTGGCTGCTATCAAAGCCCCTGGATTTGGTGAAAGGAGAAAGGCAATCCTACAAGATATTGCAATCTTGACAGGTAGTTTTTTGCTTCCTTGTAGTCCAGATCATTCATATGTCTGCAAACATGCTTAGCAGACTTAAAATCTCAGTAGTTTACAGCTGCTTTGCGCATAGGTGATATCACTTGCTCATTGTTTGTTAAATCATGCAGGAGCTGAGTATCAAGCCAGTGACCTTGGTTTGCTTGTTGAGAACACATCAGTTGAGCAGCTTGGGTTAGCTAGAAAAGTAACCATCTCTAAGGATTCCACGACCATTATTGCTGATGCGGCATCAAAGGATGAACTACAAGCCAGGATTGCACAATTGAAGAAAGAATTGTCTGAAACTGATTCTGTATACGACTCGGAGAAACTCGCTGAGAGGATTGCCAAGCTATCCGGGGGAGTTGCTGTGATCAAGGTTGGTGCAGCTACTGAGACTGAGCTTGAGGATAGGAAGCTCCGGATTGAGGATGCCAAGAATGCAACTTTTGCTGCCATAGAGGAAGGCATAGTGCCTGGTGGTGGTGCTGCATTGGTTCACCTCTCCGCTTGCGTGCCTGCTATCAAGGACAAGCTTGAGGATGCAGATGAAAGATTGGGTGCTGACATCGTTCAAAAGGTAAATTTTAGTTGTTTCTAGTCGCATTATTGTATCAACCTGGATGAGGCAATGCTTGCTGGAATAAATATCACCTCTATTTGGAAAATGGTATCACTATGTTGCTATTAGACGAGAGAAGGATTTGATTTTTTTTAAAAGACCATTAATTCTGTGAAGTGTTACTTCAAAGAACTTCAAAGAACCTTCCTTAGGACTTGATTTTTTTTTTAAAAAGGCATAGATAGACCATTAATTCTGTGAAGTGTTACTGATTTGCTGTCACATATATAGGCACTTATGGCACCAGCCTCATTGATAGCTCAAAATGCTGGAATCGAGGGAGAGGTGGTGGTGGAGAAGGTGAAGGCCAGCGAGTGGGAGATTGGGTACAATGCGATGACGGATAAGTATGAGAACCTGGTAGAGTCTGGAGTGATAGACCCGGCAAAGGTGGCGAGATGTGCTTTGCAGAATGCGGCTTCGGTCGCCGGGATGGTGTTGACAACCCAAGCAATTGTGGTCGAAAAGGCCAAGCCCAAGGCTCCTGTCGGTGCTCCACCCCAAGGCCTTACTGTATGATACTGAGAGTGTGAGTCTGGCTTGTCGATGGTTAGATCTAGGGATAAAAAGAGGCTGTTGTCATGGTCAATTTAATATGAAGGGGCCGGTCGAAACTCAATTTTCTGTTTAGATAAAAATCCCTTTCTTCGAGGACTCATTTTTTCCATCCGGTTTTTGCTGCTGTGAAAGTAAGGTTGTATTGTTTGTGCGTGGGTTATTTTCTGTGCAAGGGATAAAGAGTAAGATCCACAGTTTTCTGGATTTAGTACCTTCTTGGGTAGAAGCAGTTTGGAAGCACCTCTTCTCTGGACATATATGCTTTTGGAAACAATCTAGCTTCTCCAAACAGAAAACTCAAGCTTGATTTTGATATATTGTGTCCTCCCCAATGAACATGCATTAGGGCCTCTGTTCTCTTTCTCCTACCCTTCCCTCGAATTAACTATCATTATCTCATCACTTTCATGGTGGATTTGGCCGTCCATCTATAGTAGATATCTGCTCTATTCCTCGTAGCTGGAAATTCTATGGACATGTCTTTCAAACAAGATAATATGTTTCCCATTTCAGATGTCTCATGTCAGCCCAAGTGTTAATTGCTGACAGACCTCCATATTAACCATCGCAAAGCGAAATTAAACATGTCGATAGAGTTTGTAAATTAGCTGCGAGTAGACAGGGCGAAATAAGAACTTTTTGTTTTCAGACGAGTCAGATTTCCTAGAACCCCCCGATCTTTCGAAAATAATGTTTTCTATAATATAGTTGTTCATAAAGAAAGTATAGTTATCGTGCCTTCAAAGGATATAGATGCCAAAACGGTTTGATAGTCGATATGGGCGTCCCCTTTGGTCACCTTTGCTAAGACACTATTATTTGTGCCACCCTTATGAGATCAGAATTAGATTTTTGAGTATAAATTTTGATCACGATTTTCGCTGCGAATGAGATTAAAGATACATCCGAATATAACCCATATCACTGCAATCTCCATGGTAAACCGTGAAGCATAATCATTCATCAAAACAATCACAATGAGAACGGCATTGGATGGAATACGAAAGTTAGATTCAGACGAGGGCATGGGGGAACGCAGGGCTTTGGGGACATAGGGTTCAAGGAGTGGAGTGGAGAGACTCGAGATGGTCACAGACAAAATGAACTGATCTAACCATTAGGCTCATAAACATTATCACCGTAGTTGCTTGGTCGGTCATTACCGATTTTCCGAACTGCCCCGACTACTTTCTCTTTTTCCATTGATTCGGAGCAAGTAGGGCCATGACTTGTTGGTGCCACAACACATGATAACGAATCAGATGCATATGCTCTCATCATCCAAAATAGCAAAAGAAACAGGGAATGGAACTCAAGGGTAACCCGGAAAACAAAACTAATTTAGAGCATAACTCAAAAGACGAACAAAATCCTGCCTTCATGCGAACAGAGAGACACTTTCATCAAATTCAGTTCCCAGAAATGGACTAGAAGAGCAACAACAAAGACAAGTTTTCCTATAGTTTCACATGGGTTGGATAAGACATGAGAAGAGCGAAACAATCCCATCCGTCGCTCTAACTCTCTGTTTGCTCCCTCAGCCTTCGGATGGTGCTCCTAACCGTCACAGCACTTGCGGTGCTGTTAGAACAATATGATGGAAACAATTAGCTACTTAAATAAAACATTCGAGCAAAAGAAGTTAGAAGCCAAATTATCAGGAAAGTATCCTTACTTCAAGGTGTAGGCACCACCGGCTTTGACCTTCCCGCAGTCCTTACATCCCCAAATACCAACAGACTTCCTCTTCACTGCATACTGCATCATCAAGCATATAACAGTAAAACACGACGCCATGGCAAAGGAATGCCGGAGCTCGCTCGTAAGAATCCAGCTAGTTTTTCAGAAAATTAAGTCAAAGAACCGCTTACCTTGCCACAGAACTCGCAGAAATACTTGCTATGCTGGGTCACCTCCATTTTCTTAATCTGCTTACGCAGACTGGCACCATATCGCGTTCCTGGTGTTCCAAATTTGAATTAGCAAAGTGCAACCGCGCAGAAAGAGTGATCAACCAAAGATCTCGATCAACCTCACAGGCTCATCATACACGAAGTTTAAAAGACTGCAACAAGCCATCATACAATTAAAACAGATTGTTCAGAAACCTACCATACTTGCCGACAATGCCGACCTTCTTCGTGCGCTTGGCCTGCACAAGATTTACAAACATTTGTCATACAAGGTCAATTCTTGTTTAACACAAGATATCAAATGCTGAGAACGACACCCGAGTTCTTGGAACTGGGATGAGAGCGTTTCAGCTGCCTTTAGAGATAGAAAACCAATGAAAAAAAAAAAAGAGAATTTCCCAGCTCGATCGACAGAGCTAATCGAGATCGACTTCTAAAGGGTGTGTACACACGACCGAAAGGAAGCACATCGATCGATTGAATGGTTCGCAAACCCCTATAGTTCAGAAAAACAACAAACCCACTTCCCCTCGTACCCCAAAACATCGTCCTTGTTCATAGCGCATCAGATCTCAAGGCACCACAAGCTGTTGCAGCGAGCGAAAACTACACCACCCTAAAGCTAAGGTTCACATGTAAACTCCATACACTCCAAGAACAGTTACCTAATCAGAAACGAAATTGGTTCGATTTTGCTTAGAAGCGAAAGCCAACTGCAGCTTCGATCCTGCCGATTCCATAGAACTATAGCTGTGCGAAAACTGAGAAACCGAGAGAGATGAACAGAGGAGCGTACCATTAGGTTACCGACGACGTAGAAGCGGCTGTCGAAGCAGGAAGCAAGTGCAAATGGAAACCCTAGAACCATGCCTCCCCGATTGCTCTTAAATATATGAAGCGGAAAACCCTAGGGCGATTATGGGCCTTCGGGCCCGGGCCCATTGAGCGGGCCCGATCTGGTTCATGGGCCAAGACCGGCCCGAGGGGCCGTGTCGCGAATCTCCCTCTTCTCTATTTTCCACAGCTCGTGTGTGGTTGAAGGCATTTGCGGCATTGCTTTCTTTATAATTGATTTTAGATTGATTGTGTAATAATAAATAAGCTTATGAACCCGAAAAGATTCTTGGGCGATTCGGTACATGTGAGCCCGGTACATCCTAGCCTTCGACATTGGAGGGTCTCGCATGGGATTCGGTATAATTCGAAAGTTAGGATGCATTGGACTTGCATGTAGAGAACATCTCTACACATGCTCGCTCTCGCGAGCCATAGGGCATCGAGGCTTGGGGTCCTTGATCCATCCGCCGGGTGAGGGCGTCAAGTTTCGTGCCCCCAAATTCATACGATTTCTCGATCAGAAGAAATGATTTTCAAACGCACTGAGAATGTCCGATAAAGCACGGGGCCAAAAAGAAAAAATTGAATCGGTTCTCACGAAAAAATAACTTGTCAAAAACATTTTTCCCGTGGCGCTCAATTTTCACAAAATCACAAAATAAACGAATGCTAAGCTGGGAAGTTTGAATTATGCACTAGAAGTAGACACCTCTAATTTTTTTTTTCCTTTTTTTAATTGGCAAAATACTAAACTTCCCCACTTTTTGACACTTTTACCGCTTTGCATCCTGAGCTTTCGAAAATGCATCTTTACATCCTAGAAAAGGCCAAATTTCCCTTGCTTGAAAAACACCATTCCTCCATGATCTCCCACAAAACCTTTGCCTCTCTGCCCATTGCGCTCTACTATCTCCATCTCTACAATCTCTCTCTCTCTCTCCCCCCTGGCCCGACTATACTAGGACGTCCATGGACGACCTCATTATAAGGTCGTGCGCGCGGCTCCATAGCGAGGGCTTGCGGCCTCTGGTGGCAGCGTCGACCAATCTTTGGGTTTGTGCTGGCTGGGTTGATTTGGGTGTTTAGGTAGGGTTCGGGAATATAGAACATGGATGAGATTGCTTTTGGTCAGAAACCGGAATTCTGTAAATTAACTTCGCATGCAAAACGGTATTCAAGTGCAAAGCTCATGATGCAAATTGGTTTTTCCAAATATAGAGGAGCCTTGGAGTTAAAGGTGAGGAATTTTTTTTTTTTTTTTGTATTTTCCACTCTCCATCGATTGAGAAAAGGTGGGGTTAAGCGCATAGAAGAGTAGATATGATGATATGTCATCCAATCCAAAATGTTTAGGGTCCAATTGTGCTGAAATTTAGAGAATAGAAGTGAGGGCTTTAACCATTGCGATGGTTGGTTCAATAGTCTAAGAAAATGGTTTGCAAGCCGAAAGTCCCCATCTCTCGAAACCTTGGTAATCCCAAGAAAGGTAAAGCTTGGGCTTAGGTGTTTAATCGGTCTTGGACTTTTCACTCGGAATGTGATGGGCCTGCGGCGACGGGCTTGCCCAGCAGGCAATTGATGTTTCGTTGGCGCCTTAAATCGAACATTCTAGGAGTGGGCGAGGCATGTCTCAAGGCGAGTTTGGTTCAGCTTTTCCAATAGGCTTTCGGCCTCCAAAGCCCTTTGGGGAAATGCTCGGGTGTTTGGCAAGGTTTTCCAAGGGGCTGTCGGCCAAATGCTGGCCTTGGCACCAGCATTGGGTTTTCAGCATTCGGCCGAATGCTGAAACTGGTTTTTTCCTTCCAAAACTATCCTCACCAATTCTTTAATTTTTCGATTTTGCCTCTCGTTGTTACTGTTCATCTCCTTTTCGCGATGGCAGCTGACGCTGCTAGATCGGGCCGATGAAGGGCCTGCGAGGTCACGTGACCCCGACGAGGGCCGCCTGGGGTCGCACGATAGCAGCTGGCGCCAGATCTAGCTCGTCGGCGGCCTTAGCTCTTCGCCGGAGCCAGATTTGCCCAAAGCCCTTCACGAAAAAAAAAAAATTCATTTCCCCAAGGGACTTTAAGTCAAGGGCATTCGCATTTCCTCAACGCCCATTTGTAAAGCCGAACCTGACACAGCCCTTTTCGGCTAAGGAAAAAAGAAAACAAAAGAAAGTGAGGTTTGATATATAAAACGTACAAAAAATAATAAAAAGAAAACGCTCACGATTGGTAAGGTGCCCATTGGTAATTGAAAAGGCCCGATCCGGGCCTCGTAAATAACGATACCTCATCGCTTTATTAACGTGAAAAACACGCAAGTGCGTCCCGATGTTGTCTCGCCGTCGTCGTTTTCTGCGATCGAGCCGCAACAAAAAAGGAATGTCAAATGGATCGATTCCCGACCCAAAAGCAAAGAGACCGGGTACACGCAATCCCCTCCCGAGCTCGCCCATAACGGTTCTTTCCTTAAAATTATAGGCGAGGATCCGATGCGCGGCGCAGATTCGATTCTTCCCACGTTTTCAAATAATCCCATGTATTTGAGCCGTCGACCCCCGACTCCAAATCTTCCATGAAATCAATTGGGCGTTTCACGGGCCGACCGTTTCGGCGTTCCCGGTCTCAAACGAAAACTCTATGGTGGTCCGTCCATGTGAACTCCAAGAGGGCCCCCGCGGGAATGTGTGAGGAATTCTGGTGATTCTTGAGAGGCCGTGATTGATGATGATTGATGCTCCCCACTCGTACCCCCCAATTAACGATGCAGACAACGACGGGCGCGATCCATTATATGGTGTGAATTAGAATAAGAACGTACACACACTTTGGAATCAACATTCGAATCTGCTTTCTTTCGTAAGCGTTGTTAAAGAGTTCGTGTCCTATGTATGTATGATCGATTTCCATGGTTTTGCGATCCTTCTTTTGTCAAGCATCCCCACTTTTGGATTTTGGGTGCGGTCCTTTTCCTCCACCTTACGTTGACAATGTCCTCCCCACCCACCCACTTCGTCCTTTCAATAGAAAAACGAACGAATAAAATAACCGACATTAATTGTTTGGTGTATCAAATATTTTGCATCCATCGATCTCAATATAGACGAGTTATGTGCTTAGGAACTTACCTGATTATACCGGCGTCGACAAAACGTCTCACATTGTTTATTTATGGGATTTATATACTTGTTATGTATGCGGTTTCCCCCTTCATATGTTGATTTAAACTTTTGGGTTGGACATTCCAACATGATATCGGACTTACGTTCTACCCCTGTTCATATCGCCTAATCCCGGGCTTGCACATGAGGGGTATTCAATTATCCCACGAGGACATGCTGTCTCTCTCTACTTATCAGTTTAAGCTTTTTGTTGGACATTTTAACATAATCAAGCTTTTGATTGGGCATTCTAACATTGCATCAAAGCCAGATTCTTTTCTAGTTTTATTTCACTCGTGCCGCCCCTGCTTGCCAAATTCCTCGCATCATTCCTAATTCGGCTTGCATGTGAAGAGTATTAAAATTATCCCATGTCTTCTTACATACACGCGCTATCTCTTCACCTATCAGTTTAAGCTTTTGAGCTGGATTCTAACATGTATCACTTGCAATGAAGTGGCTCGTGTGGAAAAACATAAACGTAATACAAAGATATCGAAAGGTTCCATGATATCTAACTCTACCTCCACTAGAGTTTGTCATGTCGCCGTGGGAAATAGATTCTATTCAATTTTTTGGGGAAAATTATCCAAAAAGTCCTAAACCTATTGCACTTTTGCCAATTCAATCATAAACCTTTTAAGTTTGCCAATTCAATCATAAACCTCACTTCTTGCCAATTGAGTCTATCCGACCAATTTTGTCTGGCCGGCGCTAACGTGGCCTCCGGCCGGGCGAGGCCAGCCAGCGTCGTCACAGGTCGGCCTTGCCTTGGCTGGGCGAGGCTCGACCTCGCCCAGATCTGGCGAGACCGGCCTCGCGCCAGCCAGTGCCATCGCATGTCGGCCTCACCTTGGCTGGGCGAGGTCGGCCTAGCTGCGGCGAACGCGGTTCGCCCTCGCTAGTGGCAGGCGGGGGTGAGCTTCGCGCCTGCCCGCGCCTCTGGCCGATTGCCGGTCACCGGTTGCTAAACCCGCTAGAGGGAAGAAGGCAAAAAAAAAAAAAACATTAAAAAATTTGAAACAAAAATATTAAAAAATTGCCAAGTCAGCGACGGCCGGCCTAGGCCGGCGACCACATCAGCGCCAACCGGCCAAAATTAGCCGGATGAACTTAATTAGTAAGAAGTGAAAATGTTTATGACTGAATTACCAAAAGTACAATAAGTTTATGACTTTTTGGATAATTTTCCCAATTTTTTGCATACTTTGAAACTCAATTCTTTTGGAAAACCCTAGTAGGGTCATTAAACGCACGATACAAAGATTAGTGTTCTGTATAAATCTCGACAGCCAGTATAAAACCCTAACAACAACGAACAGATTGTTTAACTTTCGAGTCATTTCATCGATACCGTAAATATTTGGTTGTCAAACCCTAGAACCCAACGCTTCATGTCTTTTAAGGCGCCACTCCTGCGGGTTGGTCCCCCTCCATTTCAGGCGTTCTTTTCTCTGCATGTTCTTTTCTTGCCCTAAAGCGACGTGCATGCTTGTTGCCACATGATAAACGCCAGCACAGTTAGTTCGATAACCGACCCAGAAAATAGAGAAAAAAAACGAGTAAACGAACAAGCCCAGAAAGCGACCTGCTCGTCTAGAAGAACGGACTTAATCGATTCTCGTCAACGGAAATGGCGTTGCGACGCTGCACTGCGGTGCGGTTTGCCTTCTGTTTCTGCTGCCTCCTTTAGGTCAACATCCCGGCTTCATCGGTCAAAGATTTGCGATTGTAAATCAAATTTGTCATGCAGCATGCCAAGCTAGAAGAAGAAGAAGAAGAAGAAGAAGAAATGATAATCTTTATTTCCTTGAATATATAACTATTAGCTGAGAGGGATCCGAGCTAGAGCTCCATATAATGATTTTCAATCGACGTATCTGCGTTTCAGAGCTTCTAAGCTCATTGCATCGTGCACTTTATC